TGTGCCAAGTTCGCGAAAAAAGTTTTACGCGCGACAGGTGTTTCGCGACGTGTATTTCCGCGCGCGGGCCATTTTACATAAAATGGTTTTCTTATCTTGATGCATGGTTATTTTGCATAAACGGCGGGAAGATTTATGCAAGGATCCGAGGCGATGCGCGGAAATGCATCAACCCCCGACTGGGGGAGGGGGGGGGGGGAGAGGAGAGTCTGTACATATTTACAAAGCTGCATCCAAATTACGCCGTCAAAGGATTCCGTAAAATCACTCACTTCCGTCCATTCTGAATAATTAAACTTTGAGATTTGAGAGCGGCGGCGGATCGAGCAGCGGCCGGGATTTTGAAACGTGCCGTTTAAAGGCAAACATAAATCTCTCATTATTTCAACGGTATTACTTTCAGCGAACGAGATGGTAGTAGATGGTAGTTTATGATTTCTAATTAAAGTGTACCGCTTAAATGAATCAGGTGTATTGCATATTGCACCAAGTCTACCCCTCGCCCTACACACTTTGCACAATTTTCCATCAGCTACTCGAACTAATTAAAACGAGGAGCGAAGCAACGTCGGGAAAAGATAAACTCCGTCTCGGGCTCTTTCGGAACGATACACATAAAAACGTCATTTTGCCACAAAGTTATATTCCTCCGTGATGTCGCGAAACGCACGGGCGGGAGGAGGGGGGGGGGAAGGAAGAAAAATACAGCGCATTATATACATCGCTGAGCACCAAACTTCACGAATAAGTGGAGCACGGATAAAAGCAAAGTTAGTAAGTGTATAATTAACAACTCCGTTAAGAGAGTTCAAACTCGAGAGTATTCAAGAAGTGGAAGGATAGCGAGAGGATGTGGGTAACATCAGTGGGACCAAGAGAGCGTGAGAGCCCTCTTACGAGAATGAATTTAAATACAGGCGATAAAACGCGCGATCAAAGTTAAAGTGACATAAACTAACGATCATTATACATTTCAATAGAAAGTTTTATATATTTCACAATATATTTCTTCTAAGAAACGTAATTAGTATCATTCGCACGGAGTTTCTGCTTTAAACCAAAAGTTTTCCTATTAATCGTATTATTTAAATTTTCATTTAATCTCTTCACAGAAATATACTTATAAAGGATTATTCTGTATTTATTATTATTATTATTATTATTATTATTATTATTGTTGTTGTTATTATAAATAAATTACGTACAGCGATGTGTGTTGCAAAACAAAAAAATTTATGATCGATCATGTAGGAGTGAACTAAAACTTCGTTATGAAAGCCTCGCACAGTTCATAGCCGGGGGCCACAATGAGCAAAAAATAATAATTTCGCGAAGTTTGCTTATTACGTTGGAATTGGAAAATGGTTGTCAGAGCCCAGATCAGTGCAGTTCGGAATTAATTACTTCGATTAGAGGGTGCCTGCCATCGCGAGAGCGTTTCTTGCGGCGGGCTCTCGTCCCCCCCCCTCCTCCCCCGGGGGAGGAAAGCCACGACACGACCTTATCTACCCCGAAAGGTCCAACGTTCGATCCATTGACTCGTCGAGACCCTAATACGACGCACGGAATTGACGTCGGCCGATAGGTCGCCCGTGTCCTAGAATCGGGCTCTGATCGACATCCCGGTACCGGTATGTACATCCACCCGAGACTACAGACTATCCGTTAGTAGACGGCACGTACGCAAACGGCAGGCACGTTGTCGGCGAGACGACGCTTTAAATCGGTCGCATTCGTTGTCGACGTTACCGTTCCGCAATTCCTCCTGCTGTTTCTAATCGAACCCCACCGTACCGAGCTCCCTCGCTTGAAGGGCGTTTTCACGATTTTCACGTACGTTCGCATTTCGAATTGAAAATTAAAAAGTGGAATTTTCGAAGGAGAATTAACAAAGACGATAATTTCGAAAATATAATTTTCAAAAAATTAAATCAAAATAGTAATTTCAAGAGGAATAAAATCTCTATTATTTTTTAATATACCGAGCGAGCAAACTCGCTCGTTATAGCCCCTGTCTTTATTTCGTTGCTAAATTCGTGATCCATCCAATTTTCAGCTCTATTCGTTCGATCGACAAAGACCACGTCGAATGTCGGCGCGAGAAGGAGCAGGAGAATCGATCATATTTTACGGTAAATGCGCGATGCGAGCATTCGCGAGTCTGAAGTCACTTTGCCACCTCTCTCCCAAGAGGGAGCGATACCCCGCGACGCGGCCGCGGCGATCGATCAGAATTAAAATTCGCGTCCGGTTCCGTTTTTCTTCTGCCAATTATCCGCCCCTAATGCTTCTCGCCCTCCGAGTAATTGGCGTTCTCTAATGTCCTTCGAGGTCAGTCACGTAACGCCCGACCCCATTTCTGTCGTTCCAGAGATGTGAGGAATGATCACGTGGATGATGATCGGGCTGCTTCTGGCTGCGGAAACTTGCGGCAGAAACGTCCTCTCCGGAAACGGAAACGGAAACGGAAAGGAGGAGACGAAGCGGCGGGAGGGCCTGAAGGGCGTCAGCGCGGACGAGGAAGACATCTATCGTGGGTATCGGCGCTGGACCGTCGAAAAATGAACGGAAACGTTCGGTAGAAAATAGATAGAGAGCTGGGACGAAGAAGAGAAGTACGAGGGGGCAGAGATAGATAGATAGAGAGAGAGAGAGAGAGAGGAGAAAAGAGAGGGAGAGAGAGAGAGAAGGAAAAGAATCGAATACCGTGATTTACTCGGCTAACTCGAATTTATCCCAGCTCGCCGATCCTGCAATCGAACGCCACTAATCTCCGAACTATCGCTTATCCTTTCTACCAAACTCTCTCTTCGTACATGTACCACACAACCCTTCCTGTCAATGACATCCCCCCCCTCCCCCTCACCACCGTACTCGTTGTGTACAACGCGCGTGTTCGCTGAATCGCGAAAGCTCTTCCTCTATCGCTACACGGGTAGAGTGTCACCCCCGCCGCAACTTTGCATTAACGAATTTAGCTTTTGCCATAAGACGCATTGTTCCGGGATACCCGTTTCCGGCAAAGTCGTAGCAAAGTCCTTTTCTGGCGGATCCGAGGTCTGTTTAAACTTAGTGGCTTGGCTTGCTGTTAACTTTTCGACATCTAAGACGGCTAAACTCGTTTAATTCCCGAAATGTATGTTCCCCCTTTAATTTTCTTTCTCTCCCAAATAGAATTTCCGTATCTCGGCGGCACGACAGTGCAATTAAGAGTTAACGCCTGTGTCTTTAACCCGCCCCTCCCCCCTCTCTCCCCCTTCGCCCCCGTTCCAGCCGCCCCGTCTCCCGTCTCTCGTCTCGATTGTCCCAGTGACGCACTTACTCAGGCTCGGTGCTCTCTCTGTTGCAGGTCTAACGTGCTACACTTGCGTCAACGTCAGCGATAACCAGGTATCGACGACTCCATTAAACCCCTCCCTTAAGAGTCCCCCATAATGACTCTGCTGTGCCCGGTCCGGCCACAGTTTCATAGAACTCGAGATCGTTCCGCCATCGATTTCGGTTTATTCTAAACTCTCCCTTATTGCATTCCGCTTCTTCCCCTTCGCAGTAACGGTTTTATCTCCAATCCTCCCCCTTCCTCGCTCTTGGTCCTTTTTTCTCCGCGAAGAAATGCGCGACAGTTTACCATATCGCCCATTCATTTGCGAGCGCTTGTAGGAACATTGACTGAATTTTAAGATAATGAAATAATCTAATATAAGCCGGGTTTTTTGCACGTTGAAGAATTGTTTCCAGTTAAAAGGGGAGTACCGACGATGGTGGAAATCGCTAAAACTGGAAATTATTTAGATGCAATAAAAATTCTATTTTACATATTTCACCTTCTGTGTTTACTCTTTCTATTTCTGCTAGCGTCGCGTAAATAAGTCTCGATTTTTTTGCCTCTTTGGCTTTCTCGTATGTATCGAGAAATACGTAGTGGTCGATATTGGCAATATAAGAACTCTGATTTTTATGGTGGAGACCTCGCGTAGCGAATGCTGCTATTTCTATTCTTGCAGATGTGCAACGAATGGGCGATAGATACACCATGTCCGGCGGGCGGCCGTGATTTTTGTCGATCGCTGCACATTTTGGATAGCCGGGGGAACAGTGTCTTGGTAAGCACACTTTTTTTTCCATTCTTATTCTGCTTGCGATTCGCTGTACAAGAACCAGCTCGCGCGCGTAACTTTATCTCTCTCCGATATACATAAATTTTGAATATATCGTCGAATAGTTTGCATATACATAAAGTATAAAAAAAAATATCCTATACCCTTCTATAGGTGTTCTTCTTTTATGAGAGAAAAATGAAAGAGTAATATTTCCCTGCTCTTAACTCGTAACTCTTAATATTTTAAAACTAAATACCTCTTTGAATTAAAAAATACAGAAAAAAATATTTCAAATAAAGTTGGACGAAGTTGTTATCCATTTTTTTTTTAAGCAAGAAAAATACTTGTTAAACTTGGAATTATTTATAGAATTCGACACATCATGCAAAAATGCTTTTTAATAATCCTTCCCACGTGTTATTCTCTGTCTATTACTCTGTGTCTATTACTCTGTGTTATTCAAAATCCTAGCGAATATCTCTCAAAAAGTATCAATTGCGAGAGTCGTCTTTTCAAAGATCCAATCGCGCTTTCAAAACGAAACAAGACCGCAATGAAAACATCACCGGGGGGGGGGAGGGGAGAGAGAGGGGAAAGGGAGACACGAACCGACAATAACAAATCGACTTTCGCGATCGAAGTAAATTTCATTACCGTTCCGCGGTAGTACAATGCACAAATGGTCAAATAAAATCAATTAAAGGTTATCGTATGTAGTTAATTGACTTAGATTAGGGAGATAATCAATTTTCGGCTATTAATGAATGAAGTTACGCGAACGGATTCGAGCCTGGACGTCGAGATGGATAGCCCTCTCGAGCTTAAGCGCTTCTCGAGTCCAGTCGATGTACCCGGCGGATGAACTTTGATGGAACTTTCCACGCTCCGACGCTTGACGTCGATAATGCGCGATAATCTAATGTCGCGCATTACCGGCGCTATAGAGCTAACTTTAACTTACTTCCAACTTTCCAATTAAAGATTATAAAAGCCGCGAAAATGTAAACAAAAACTTTTTAGCGCCACGGCACTTTCTTTTTATCCGTGCTTAAAATTCATTCGGAAAATATTTGCGCGTTATTCTCGCGCCGTGATATAGACCGCGCGCGAGCGACCATTGGTCGGCTGCCGACAAAGTCGAAAAATTTCCAATTTCCACAGAATCACTGTCTTTCGCGTTCACTCACGCGCTTCTTCTTGGCTTCCTTCCGTTCTAGGTAAGCAAGAGTTGCGCCAGCAGCAAGGAATGCGGGCCAGCGTCGGTCGGTTGCATTCCCGTGGACACGCAGCAGGTGCGAAATAGCGAATTTTGTCGTCCTACCCGGAGGGAGGTTTCTCGAATCATTCAAACGAGGCAAAATACTAAAGACTATAGAAAAACGAAACTCAAAAAAAAAAAAAAAAAGAGAAGAAGAAAAAAATAGACGCACACACACACACACACACACGCGCGCGCGCACACACGCACACGCACACACACACACACACACGCACACACACACAAAAGAGAAATGTCGACAGAGCCGGGTGAAATAAATTCGGTTATTTCGTTTCAGGTTTGCATAAGTTGCTGCGACCTGAGCTACTGCAATATCGAGTCGCCCACCAACGCTACCAATGCGATCTATTCCCGCAAACGGCGCGCCAAGTCGAAATCGAAGCGCAAACGACCCGGGAGAAATGGGATCGATGCGGCGACGCGACTCTACGGGTCCAGCTTGCTCTGGCTTCCCGCCTCGCTCTTCTATGCATATCATTGCTGAGGAAGCAGCAACACTGATAAACCGCGCACATACGCATACACACACACACACACACACACACACACACACACACACACACACACACACACACACACACACAC